CCCTGCTCCCCTGCCCGGGGCGTCCCCAAGCCAGCCGCTGCTGAAACTGACCAGTGGCTGACTACAGGAAGCCCCTGCCCTGGGCTTCCTGGAATCAGCTGCTGATGAGTTTCAGCAGCAGCTGACTTGGGGACGCCTGGGGTTCTTAAGTTGAATCTGTATGTAAGTCAGAACTGGCGTCCAGATTCAGCGCTGTTGAAACTGATCAGTTTCAGCAGTGGCTGAATCTGGACGCCAGTTCCGACTTACATACAGATTCAACTTAAGAACAAACCTACAGTCCCTATCTTGTACGTAACCCGGGGACTGCCTGTAGCTTATTTCAAAATAGCACGTCTGCACTGCAAGGAAGCTTCAAAATGAGTCCGAGGCCGGTTTCCCTAATGTAGACGTGCTATCTCAATTTAGAGTTCCAGAGAGGAACAGCTTAGAAGGGCCCTGGTGAGGGGCTATTTTGAAATAGCAGAAGTGGAGCATCTACACACGCCCTATTTTGAAATAGCTATTTCGGAATAGGCGTTATTCTTTGTAGAATGAGGTTTACAGTAGTTGGAATAAGCCGTCTGTTATTTCAAAATTATTTCAAAATAATGGAATTACTGTGTAGACGCTCGCATAGTTATTTCAGAACAACAGCCGTTATTCAGAAATAACTTTGCTGTGTAGACGCACCCTAACTGTGCAGGAGCTCAGTCTGGATGATGATGATGCTCCATTCTGGCCGAGTCCACATCTTCTGATGCTGTTCATCGTTACAGATGTCCTTCTTATAGCCCTGTCTGCGCTGTCTCGAAAATGTGTAGCATGTTTTATCACAAGCATCCAGCTTGGCTTTTCTTCTTAATTTCTACATTTCAGTCTGGCTGGCAAAATCCCTTTATTCTCCCCTGTTGGGCTTCACTTCCCCCATCCCCACCCCCTATTTATTGGTGAATTTAGAACAATAGAAGAGGATTGAGCACAAGGAAGTAGAGTTTTAAAGTAAGACTCTTCAGGAAGATCTATGTAGCTAAGGCAGGCCAGGACATCCCCATCCTGGGTGCAGTTTAACAATTTTCCATTAATATAATTCTGTTCCTCTTAAAATTCAAATGATCATCCCAGAAGCAGAAGTGAAAATCTTAGCAACATGTTTAAACAGATTTTAGATGTTTGGGTTAAGTTTAAAGAACCCAGCTGGGGTCATTGTCTTTGTTCTGTGCCCTTTGATAATAAATGCAAACAGAGAATAGCCAAGCCCTTATCACCATGGCAGCTAAGCAGGGTGGAGCAAAACATACTTGTACAAAGTCATCCACAAACTACAGTCTCTACTGCAAGGTTTCCAGGAACAGACAGAACAAAACCAACGCCCCCTGCCGTTCTTCTCAGAAAGCTGCAAAACTCAGGAAGTGAACGCCCACAAATGGGGGAGTTCTCCAAAAACAAAATTCTGCTACTATGGGTGGGGTGGGGGGGGGGCAGCTTTCTCCTCCTCCAAAAATGCCACAGAGGGACAACCATGAGAGAGGTTAGTCCAGGGGGTAGTCTGCAATTTTACTATGTCTTCAAATGCAACAATGGCAGATTTCCTCCCCGCCTAAGTGATGGGGCCTTCAGCAAGTAAGCCTGCTACAAGGTTTGCTCTAGTGACCAAGTGGAAGCCCTGCCTGCACCGGAAGAAACCTTAGCACAGTCTTCCTGGGCAGAACTAAGCTGAGAGAATTGTGGTAGTCTAGCCTAGGAGGCAAAGGCCTATGCAGTTCTGTTTGGGTTCTATACATGTCATAGGGTTGCCAGATACTTTCACCAAAAATACCGACCATGGTGGGGAAAAAAAGGACCAAAGTTGTTGAGGAAAAAAAAAAGAGGGCACACAGGAAAAAAAGAGTCACTGTGCCTTTAAATCCCCACACTCCCAGCTCCTCCTGCCCCCGCCACAAATGGCAGGGAAGAAAAACAGAAAATACCTGACATTTTACACGTCCGGTATTTTCTGTTTTTTTTACTGGACAGAGGCTGCAAATAACGGACTGTCCGGGCCAATACCGGACACCTGGCAACCCTAAGTCCAGCAGTGCAGAGTCTGAATACAAGGGTGACCACTCTGAGGTCCATAGTAGAAAAGTCTGAACTTTATGGCCCACTCGCAGATATAAACGGTTCAGTGGCCACCAGTGAGCTCTGGGAATCCAAGAGCTGGGAATGCTCCCTGCAAAATATGGGCAGAACATGACACCAGATGATTGGCGAGGTTTGGAGTGTGCTGCAGAGACTCCCCTATCAGTTCCCTAGCTGGTATCACCAGACAGCTGTTAACTGGAGTAAATAAATGTTACCATGGCAGATTTTTTCCCATCGCCAGCTAGGAAATTTTTCTAGAGGAGTTGAGGAACCAGAAACTCATGTAAGAACCAACCCACGTTTCCCACCCTGTTCCACTTCCTGTGCTTGAAGGAAGTTCAGTACTGAGCAACACGGGGCTGGCAAGGAGCCTCGAGAGTCTCTGGCCTGTAACCGAGCCTGGCACCCTCCGGAGAGCCCATCGTGACTAGCTGGAGCAGGTCAATCCCTTTCATCCCGCACTGAATGCCTGAGCTTGGCATTTTGGCACTGGACACAGCTGAGGAGTGAGGTGGGGGCCCTGGGGCGAGGCACAGGTTGGTTGTTTATTAATGATAAAACGGTCTGCAAATGAGCAGTCAGCAACATTCTCTTGTTCTCGACAATAGTCACTGCCTGTTTACCGTCGCATCTCTAGTAAGTAGGGGCAATGTAACGCGGCATTGGGGTCCATTCACTTGCTCTCAGTGCCGGTCACTTGCAGGCGTCCGTTAAGGTCAGGGCTCTTTCTGAAAGACGCGTGCCGGTTCACCACTGGGCCAGATCCAGGAACAAGTGACGTTCCCCAGCCCGCAATGGGCAGCAAGTCAAACTAGAGACTGGTCCCTGGGGGCCTTAAAATGTGTCTTGGCCACAGAGCTTCCAGTGCATCACAGCAGCCGCCTGCCTCCACAGACTCCCCTCCCCCAGCCCAGTTACTCAATCAGACCACAGCCTCTCCTGGCGTTTCCCACGGGTGAGGTGGTGACAGGGCACGTGAGGAGACAGAAGGAGGGGGATGGGCTCATGGTCAATGGCATTTTTCTTCACAGACAAGACAAACTGAGCCCTGCTCAGTGTCTCATGAAGCATCAGGCTGTGTCAGAAGGTGCCTCCGCAGCCCCTGCTGGGTCCCTGGTCCTCTGGCTGCATTGCGGGCAGGGGAACTGGATGCTGGTATTTCCCCCAAAGACATGGCCCACCGCTGTGTCCCTCTGCAGCCTGACTTAGCGAGGGGAAGCTGGGGACACAAGTGGCCCAGGCCTGCTCAGGAGAAGACTGGACTGTTCGTGCCTCGCAAGGTGGGTGGGGAGTTCATTGATGGGCATGGTGCCCTCAAGCCCGGTTTCAGTGGTTTGCCTGGAACACTTGCGACTCCCCTTCATGCTTTTCAGGTTCTCGGAAAGGTGCTTCCTGAACTTCTTGGTGAGGAAGCAGTAGATGACAGGGTCCAGCATGCAGTTGGTGCTCAAGAGGCACAGAGTCACCTGATGGGCATCATTGATCTGCTGGCGCAACAAACAGTTTTTTGTCTGCCACTTCTCCAGGACTGTCAGGGTCCAGGGCAGGTCATTGAGGTGGTGAGGTACAAAACATATGATGAACACAGCCAGGACAGTGCACACCATCCACAGTGCCCGCTGCTTGACACGAGCGCTCTTCTGCAGCTGCACAGGCTTGATCAGCAGGGTCCTGATAATGAACACGTTACACACCAGAATAAACAGGAAAATGAAGAGAAAAATAACGAAGATGAGAATGTGGAAAGCAAGGACGGTCCCAACGTTGTCAGAGGTGTTATAGCCCTCAAAACACCGCGTGACGTTGCCATGGTTACTGCTCTCGGTGTTAGTGCCGCTGTCTATGAGGAAATAGAAGCCACTGCTCATTATCACAACCCAGATAGCTGCAGAGAGGAAGATACCCCTTCTCCAGGTGGTGGCCTGGGCGGCTGTGATGGGTTTGGTCACTGCCTGGAAGCGGTTGTATGTGATGACTGTCAAGAAGGCGATGGAGCAGTAGGTGTTAACAAAGAACAAGTAGCCAGACACATTACACAGGAACGAAGGCATAACCCAGTCTCCTTGGGAGTGGTAGTAGATGATCCACAGGGGCAGTGTAATCAGGAAAAGCAGGTCAGCCACTGTCAGGTTCACCATGAATATCTTGATTTCGTTGAGTTTTCTCCAATTATAAACCTGGCAGAAAACCCACAGCACGTAACAATTGGCAATGAAGCCCAGAATGAAGATGAAGCTGTAGAAGATGGTGAAGAGGGTGTATCTGAACTCAGAGTCCACGGCGCAGGAGGTGTTTGCAAGGGACGGGGTGGAGCTAGGTCTCTCTGTCGAGGACATCATGTCACTGAGCCAATCTCCTGTCCCCTTCTCGTCTTCTTACCCTGAGAACACAGAACACGCCAACAGGGTCACAGAGTGCAGGGCCGCTGCCAAGCCCCCCCCGCCTGGGCTCAGGGCAACTCTGCCTGCAGAGGCTTGTCCACCCACCTCTGCCCTCTGCCTCTCTGACCTCACACACGCCCTCCCTTCCTGTTCTCAGTGCCACTCCAGTTTCACGTCCGCCTGAATCCTCTGCCCACGCGCCCTGTGGTCCAACCGCCCTTACATGCCACCTGTTCGACCACAGTCCTTATCCTGCCTGGCCAGCCAGCTTGGGACAGCCCTTCCCACAGCGTGATTCATGGCGCAGAGCCGACGCTGGCACCGCAGTGCCGGAGCGCTCCCGTGGTTGTTACTGAAATCAGACATCGTCTCCTGCTTGGAGACAGGGCATTGGGCACCACACAAGCCACTGAACGGTTACCCGTGGATTGGGCACAGGGTGGCAGTGCAAACCCAGGCTCCATTGCCAGCCTGGCCCTCGATTCATGGGGTGACACAGGAAAAGGCGTGGCATCCGTATCTCCCAGAGTCCCCCAGCCTTGGCCTGGTGGAATACAGCTCCCACACTGCAGCCCCCCACAATGGCTGGGGCCAGGGGATCTCAGCCGCAGGGTCCTGGGCCAGGGAAGAGCCGGGTGTCCCCGCTCAGTGCGTCCAGCGCAGCCCAGCGGCTCTGCAGGGCCTGGGACCATGTGCTGATGGGCCAGGAGGCTGCTGAGCAGTGCTGGAAGGGGTGGCAGCCGCTCCCAGGGACACGCTCTCCTCTGCCTGCACTAACAGCCATGGGCAGCACGACTTGCTCTGATCAGACCCCCTGGTGCTTCTCAGTCAGCTCTGAATTCCAATGGTGGGATGGAGCAGAGACTCCAGGCAGCGGCTAAGGAGCCTCTGGGCCCAGCCTGCCCCCCCTGCAGCCAGTGCCAGGCTTGGCGCCGGGAGATAAGGCCAGAGCCTGGCAAAGAGGCCGGAGCGAGCTGCCCCACAGGTGCCGACTCCACTGGCAGGCAGCTCCTTCCCAGTGCCTGCTGGCCACCAGCAGCCCTGCCAATCAATGCCCCCACCCCAACCAGGTGCAGGGACGGGGTGCTGGCAGAACTAGGTGGGAAGGGGGAGGGGCTAGGAAAGGGGGGCAGGGCCTGGGGCTGAGCAGGGGGGGGCACCTCCCCTCCAGCAACTGGGAAAGGTGAGGGGAAGGTGCTCCAGCCTCCTGGCCAAGGCAGACTGCAAAGGGGGCTGGGAGCCCTGCACCCCAGGCAACTGAGGGGCCAATCCCAGAGACCTTGCTGCGGCTGCCCTGGCCAAGGGAGGTGTCCCAGGCCCGAGAGAGGGCAGCAAGCTGCCCAGCAAACTGCACCTGAGGGGCCACCCCCCAAACTGAACAGACTGAAAGGAAGTAGCCCAGGGCAGCTTGGGGCCACTCATGGGTCTCCCTGCCCAACTCCTCACTGGCATTAATTGATGCGCCTCAACCAAGCCGGGGGCTGGTAGCTCTGACCACTAGGCCACCCAGCCCTCCACGCCCCCGGTACAGAGGTCTGGGCTAGATTCCAGCCGGGGTAATTAATTCTGTTTAGCAGGAATTCCCCCAGTGGCTTCACTGGGGAACATCATCTGCTCCACTTCTTCCTGTGGCACAGAGCCAGGCCAGATGCAGTGCGTCATGTGGCTGAAAATGATCTCGGTTCCCTGGGGAGCAAAGGGGCTCCAGGAGGGGCTGTGGTCACCATGGTTACATTACCCCCGGGGTCAGACAGAGCCTAGCCAGCAGCTGTCAGAAAGGCCCTACCCCCGTCCCCAGGATACCGACACTCCCTGTGCAGCTGGCGAGTCTGAGCATCCGCAGGCAGGGCTGGGCTGGGGAGCCCTTTCATACGCAGGGGCCGCTGACCCACCCCCAGCCCCGTGACAAGCAACGGTCTGAGCCAAAGCCCAGCGACTGCCCCCGTCTTGGATCAGATGCAGGGATGCGGCTTCCTCTGTAAATCAGCCCGGCCACCTCCCGGTGCTGGCATGTGGCTCTTCTCTGCCTTCCCGATTTGTCGGTCGATCTCCGGGGCCCAGAGCAAAGTGCAGGGTGGGGGCAGAACTGGGCCGAGAGCGGCTGCCCAGTGGCGTAGCCAGGATGGGACACTCAGGGCAATTGCAGGAGTGAGGGGAGGGAGTAGGAGATGGGGCAGGAGGGACTGGGACTGGAACTGCCTTCCTCCGCCCCCCACCCCAGCCCATCTCAGGGGCAATGGACAATCTAGCCGGGGCTCCCTGGGTGCCAAGAGCGCACCCAGCTCCAGCAGCAACGGCTCTCCTCCTGCCCAAGCAGCACGCCTCCCGTTTTGGGCCATTCCTCTGCCACTGCGACTTGGTTGCACACTTGCCCTCCTCCCACTGGCCAAAGGGACATGCCGGAAACCCCAGCCTCTTGGGGTGTCCTGGAAAAACAGGTGCCCCCCATCAGCCCTCCCGCACCTGATGCTCCTGCTGGGGAATGAGGGCAGGGCTTGGGGGCTTGTCCTGCCCTGCCCATCAGGTACATGATCTGTGCCCTGACCTGCTCCAGACTGGAGCAGTGGGTGGAGCGGGATGAGCCCCAATTCTGCTCCCCGGCTGGACCCAGCCTGCTGCCCATTGTCTCAGAGGTGGGGAGCCTCAGTGGGGTAGTCATGTGACCAAGGTCACCCCTGGGAACAGAGCCCGGGTGCCAGATTCCCAGGCCAGTGGTCAGCCCACTGGGCCACACTGCCCCAAACCGGGACAGACAGTAGCGTGGCACCGTGGCCCACCCATCTCTCCCTGCGCTAAGGAGCCAGGCTAGAATGCAGACGACGAGCACTGGTGAGAGCTGGTTCCTGCTTACCAGAGTCGAATGGCTGCACAGCGATCCCGACGCAGCTCTCCAAGAGCCGTGGGTCTGGTTCCCGGTCCCCTGTCCCAGCCTGAGGCTGCAGCCTCCGCACACACAGCGCTATTGATCAGAATTGCAGAACTGAAAGGGTTGTGAAAGCTTCCTGCCAAGTCATTAGCAAGAGGAAATGTCACTTGTATCCGAGTGACAGAAGACAGAGAAACTGCCGCTGGGAAAGCAAACTGACAGCGAAACCAGGAGTCCCGCAGAGCCCTTTGCAGCAGCATTTTCATCAGAGGAATCTACTCCTAAGGCTGCTCCCCAGGGAGAGCCAGATGTCACAATTCGCATCCCACAGCCGTTTACATGGCCAGGGGCTCTGTCCCAGAAGCAGCAGCAGTAGCCCCTTTGAACAGCTGAGCCCCAGGAAAATTGCCCCTTCCCTCCCACAACTCCACCCCACATCCATTGGCAGGCCTGCTCCTGGTTCCCACAGGGATTAGAGGGCCCACAAAGATCATCCAGTCCAACACCCTGCCAAGACACAGGATCCGTTTTGTCTAAACCATCGAAGACAGATGGCTCCAGCCTCCTTTTGGAAAGCGCCAGCGAAGGAGTTTCTACAACCTCCCTAGGCAAGCTGCTCCCTTGTTCTACAGCAGGCATGTCCAAAGTCCGGCCCGCGGGCCAATTGCGGCCCGTGTTCAGGTTTAATACGGCCCCACAGGTAATTTGGCAATATCTATCTTTTATGGCCCCCAACGAATCCATATGTATTGAGATGAATACATTGTAAAATCTCAGTTAATGTCAGTTGGTCTAAATCAGTTATAAATATATTTGGACACAACATGTATACTTGGTGTTATGTTCCTGTTCATATTTTTTGAACTTAAAAGTTGACAGACAACCTTTATTACCAATAATATGTAATGTACTTTACAATGTTCCTGACATATATTTCAGCTTCCTGGATTTTTTTTTCATCTGGCCTTCAGATATGAAAGGCAGAGTGATTTAACACCTGTTTAGATTTGTCATCCATGTGACGAAATGAAAAGTATGCCGTTTGCAATAAACTTTGCATAAAATAGTTAATTTGCATTTAATTTTAATGGTTCAAAGAATGTCAGGCAAAATGGTCGGCCCTCACGCATGTTCACTTCATCAAATCTGGCCCTCTTTGAAAAAAGTTTGGACACCCCTGGCTTAAGTGCAAGCATTGACCCAGATTGACGCAATACAGTGAAGAAGTTTTTTCCTGTAATTTAATGTAAATCCGCTCTGCTGCCTCTTGGCCCGCCCTCTGTGGCAAGAGAGAACAACTTGTCTCTTTAGGTTGGACATTAGGAAAAACTTCCGAACTGTCAGGGTGGTTAAACACTGGCATAAATTGCCTCGGAGGTTGTGAGATCTTTATAGAATCCTAGGGCTGGAAGAGACCTCAGGAGGTCATCAAGTCCTGCACCCTGCCCAAGGCAGGGCCAATCCCAACTATCATCACTGGAGATATTTAAGAGCGGGTTGGATGGACGTCTATCGGGGACATGGTGCTGGGTCCAGCCATGAGGGCGGGGGCTGGACTTGATGACCTCTTGAGGTCCCTTCCAGTTGTAGCTCTATGATTCTCCATCTTTTTTATGGTAACTTTTCAAGTATTTGAAAACTAATATATCCCTCCACTTCCCACCGCCTCGTTTCCAAACTGTGCATGGCCAGATCCTTCAGCTCCCGTGTCTGCATCCCATCACCACAGCGAGAGGTCAACGGGAGAAATGCTCCCATCGAATTCCCTTACTCCTCACACGGAGTAGGCATTCTGGCGCTAATGGGGGCACCTTCAGAATTCAGTTTAGCAGGTCTTTACTAGACCCGCTAGGAGTGGCCAAATCCAACTCTGGAAGATTGACCGCCACAGCGTGGATCTCCCAGCAAGCAACACGTGGCCTTGGGTTGCATCAGGCAAACGCTTTTCAGTGGAGAGATGGTTATAAACAGGGCTCGAAAAACTGCGGCGAGAACTACTCGCCAGCCCCACACCACGCATGCGCCAGAGCAGCACTGTGCGTGTGCACGGTGCCGGTGAATGGGGCGCACAGAGCGACCAACTGAAATCTACTCGCCATGGGCAAGTAGAAACAGCGGTTTGTCGAGCCCTGGTTATAAAGGACGCTGGTGAGACCTATCTGGAGAACTAGCACAACTCTAGGCAATGTGGCCTTAGCATGTGGGCCCCACATTGGTCATGTTGTCTCTTGTCTCTCTGGGTGTGACTGCCTGTCATACTCACTGACCAAAGGAGCACATCGGATTCCCAAGCCACGCTCTCCAAGGCGTGCTGGGAATGCCTGTCTAGCCCCATCGTACTTTCTCATCACCTCAATGGTCAGCTTCTGTCAAAGAGCACCAGTGTTGGTGTTCGTGTGCGGAGGGCGGGGGGGGGTGTGGACAGCCTGCAAACAGTAGTGTGGGTGGGTGGAGTGTGTGTGGGGGGTGCAGATGGCCTATGAGCAGAGGTGTGGGTGAGTTGAGTGTGTGTGTGGGGGGGGGTGCAGATGGCCTATGAGCAGAGGTGTGGGTGGGTGGAGTGTGTGTGTGGGGGGTGCAGATGGCGTGCGAGCAGAGGTGTGGGTGGGTGGATTGAGTGTGTGGGGGGTGCAGATGGCGTGCGAGCAGAGGTGTGGGTGGGTGGATTGAGTGTGGGGGGGTGCAGATGGCGTGCGAGCAGAGGTGTGGGTGGGTGGATTGAGTGTGGGGGGGTGCAGATGGCGTGCGAGCAGAGGTGTGGGTGGGTGGATTGAGTGTGGGGGGGTGCAGATGGCGTGCGAGCAGAGGTGTGGGTGGGTGGATTGAGTGTGGGGGGGTGCAGATGGCGTGCGAGCAGAGGTGTGGGTGGGTGGATTGAGTGTGGGGGGGTGCAGATGGCGTGCGAGCAGAGGTGTGGGTGGGTGGATTGAGTGTGGGGGGGTGCAGATGGCGTGCGAGCAGAGGTGTGGGTGGGTGGATTGAGTGTGGGGGGGTGCAGATGGCGTGCGAGCAGAGGTGTGGGTGGGTGGATTGAGTGTGGGGGGGTGCAGATGGCGTGCGAGCAGAGGTGTGGGTGGGTGGATTGAGTGTGGGGGGGTGCAGATGGCGTGCGAGCAGAGGTGTGGGTGGGTGGATTGAGTGTGGGGGGGTGCAGATGGCGTGCGAGCAGAGGTGTGGGTGGGTGGATTGAGTGTGGGGGGGTGCAGATGGCGTGCGAGCAGAGGTGTGGGTGGGTGGATTGAGTGTGGGGGGGTGCAGATGGCGTGCGAGCAGAGGTGTGGGTGGGTGGATTGAGTGTGGGGGGGTGCAGATGGCGTGCGAGCAGAGGTGTGGGTGGGTGGATTGAGTGTGGGGGGGTGCAGATGGCGTGCGAGCAGAGGTGTGGGTGGGTGGATTGAGTGTGGGGGGGTGCAGATGGCGTGCGAGCAGAGGTGTGGGTGGGTGGATTGAGTGTGGGGGGGTGCAGATGGCGTGCGAGCAGAGGTGTGGGTGGGTGGATTGAGTGTGGGGGGGTGCAGATGGCGTGCGAGCAGAGGTGTGGGTGGGTGGATTGAGTGTGGGGGGGTGCAGATGGCGTGCGAGCAGAGGTGTGGGTGGGTGGATTGAGTGTGGGGGGGTGCAGATGGCGTGCGAGCAGAGGTGTGGGTGGGTGGATTGAGTGTGGGGGGGTGCAGATGGCGTGCGAGCAGAGGTGTGGGTGGGTGGATTGAGTGTGGGGGGGTGCAGATGGCGTGCGAGCAGAGGTGTGGGTGGGTGGATTGAGTGTGGGGGGGTGCAGATGGCGTGCGAGCAGAGGTGTGGGTGGGTGGATTGAGTGTGGGGGGGTGCAGATGGCGTGCGAGCAGAGGTGTGGGTGGGTGGATTGAGTGTGGGGGGGTGCAGATGGCGTGCGAGCAGAGGTGTGGGTGGGTGGATTGAGTGTGGGGGGGTGCAGATGGCGTGCGAGCAGAGGTGTGGGTGGGTGGATTGAGTGTGGGGGGGTGCAGATGGCGTGCGAGCAGAGGTGTGGGTGGGTGGATTGAGTGTGGGGGGGTGCAGATGGCGTGCGAGCAGAGGTGTGGGTGGGTGGATTGAGTGTGGGGGGGTGCAGATGGCGTGCGAGCAGAGGTGTGGGTGGGTGGATTGAGTGTGGGGGGGTGCAGATGGCGTGCGAGCAGAGGTGTGGGTGGGTGGATTGAGTGTGGGGGGGTGCAGATGGCGTGCGAGCAGAGGTGTGGGTGGGTGGATTGAGTGTGGGGGGGTGCAGATGGCGTGCGAGCAGAGGTGTGGGTGGGTGGATTGAGTGTGGGGGGGTGCAGATGGCGTGCGAGCAGAGGTGTGGGTGGGTGGATTGAGTGTGGGGGGGTGCAGATGGCGTGCGAGCAGAGGTGTGGGTGGGTGGATTGAGTGTGGGGGGGTGCAGATGGCGTGCGAGCAGAGGTGTGGGTGGGTGGATTGAGTGTGGGGGGGTGCAGATGGCGTGCGAGCAGAGGTGTGGGTGGGTGGATTGAGTGTGGGGGGGTGCAGATGGCGTGCGAGCAGAGGTGTGGGTGGGTGGATTGAGTGTGGGGGGGTGCAGATGGCGTGCGAGCAGAGGTGTGGGTGGGTGGATTGAGTGTGGGGGGGTGCAGATGGCGTGCGAGCAGAGGTGTGGGTGGGTGGATTGAGTGTGGGGGGGTGCAGATGGCGTGCGAGCAGAGGTGTGGGTGGGTGGATTGAGTGTGGGGGGGTGCAGATGGCGTGCGAGCAGAGGTGTGGGTGGGTGGATTGAGTGTGGGGGGGTGCAGATGGCGTGCGAGCAGAGGTGTGGGTGGGTGGATTGAGTGTGGGGGGGTGCAGATGGCGTGCGAGCAGAGGTGTGGGTGGGTGGATTGAGTGTGGGGGGGTGCAGATGGCGTGCGAGCAGAGGTGTGGGTGGGTGGATTGAGTGTGGGGGGGTGCAGATGGCGTGCGAGCAGAGGTGTGGGTGGGTGGATTGAGTGTGGGGGGGTGCAGATGGCGTGCGAGCAGAGGTGTGGGTGGGTGGATTGAGTGTGGGGGGGTGCAGATGGCGTGCGAGCAGAGGTGTGGGTGGGTGGATTGAGTGTGGGGGGGTGCAGATGGCGTGCGAGCAG